CGTTTGAAGAAATTGCCCTTGTTGCTTGGCCCCGTTTCGGCATTTCGAATTTGCCTTTGTACTTGGGGTCTGGGCATCGCTGTTTAAAAACGAAGGGGTGTTTCCCGCATCGTACACACAGCTTCTTCTCCAGCCATCCTTCTTGTTCCTTGGTGAGGGTGGATACTCGATCCACGACCATTGCGTTGGGGTCTTTCGGGGCCCGTGGTGCTGATGATGATGATGTTGTAATTGTTCCGCGTTGTCCTGCTTTGTCGGCTCTGAACTTGGACTCCAGTTGAAGGCACAGGTCGAGGTATTCCGGCCATGTGATGGGGTCGGAAATTCCTAGGCTGTCTCGTGTGACCATTGCCTGGCGTACGTCCTTGCTTCGGTGTTCAGCGATGTAACCGATGAGTGCAGTGTGCCCTAAGTTGGTCTTAGTGGCCCATTGACGGAACTGTTCTGCGAAGGATACCATTGTGGGATACGTCTTGCTGCAGATATCCTTCAAATGCTGCTGTGCATCCTTGTCCGGGTCGAGGGTCCTGTAGTTCACTTTGAGAATGTTGACGAAGTCTTCCCATGTGCCAAGTGCCTGCTGTGCTGCTGCTCTGGTCACATATTCAGACATGTATGTGAACGCGCCACCTTCCAAATGCAGCAGGGCCGTGGTAATCTTGTGTTCATCGTCGTTGATCTCGTTCCACCGCATCCATATACCGAGTTGTTGGAGCCAGTCCTCCAGACTTCCTTTGCCTGAGTAGTGTGGAGGTTCAGCAATTTTGATGCGTGGCTTGTGCGATTGGACCGTGCCGGGTGTTTGACCTTGCATCATAGTGACGCCGCTTGCTTTGAGCGAAGCTAGCTCATGTCGCAGCCTAGTGTTTGCTGCCTTGATTTCCATCATCTCTTTTTCAATATCCAACATTGCCGCTTGTGTTCCGGTGAGTTCACCGTTAAGTACCGTTATATGTGCATCTTGCGCATCGATCCTGTCCTTGAGCTTGCCGTTCTCAGTTTGGAGCAGTGCCTCCTTTAACCGGTGCTCATTCTTGTTATTCTGGATCTGCAATTCAAAGGCTTTCTTGTGCTCGTACATTTTGTTTCCGAGCACATTGTAGACCTTGGCGATTTCAGTAGTGACCGTGAGCTTCATTGCGATGATTACCCATTCACGTATGTGGTCCGGGACTTCTCCTGGAGCGGACTGTCTGAGAGCATCTTCTAGGTGCTCGAATTGGTGTCCATCAAACTCCCAGATGGGTGGGACATAGGCTGGTACAAGTGATGATGTCGGGGATGCTGGTCCTCCGACTTGTGATGCAGAATCCTGCGGTCCTAGTGCAGGTTCGGGTGAATTGCGCTGCGAGGCGCGTGGGGTACTTCCGTCGTGTGCTGACTCGACGTTTGTATGAAGAATGTCATCCATTCGTTGCCTGAACATGGATGCGTGCACACGATCGGCTGACTCCATTGTGATATAGGTAAACTAATACAAAAAGTGCAAATATCTCGCTTTCGAGATGAAGACCAGAGCCTTGGCGATTTCCTGCAGCCTCTCTTCCTTTCCTATCTGCTTGAAACTGATTCCTCCTATCTCCAGACAGACTTTGTTGATAACCTGCTTCTCGACAAACGTATATGTGCGCGTCCCTGTGTGTAGATCGGCGCAGACTTTATCGAGCTCTGTGGCGAGGCTAAAGATGGGTCCTTGGTGCTCGTCCTTGAGACGATATGAGAATGCTCCTAATATGGGTTGGAGCCTGAAGCGGGTAGCATCTACCTGCTTCGAAAGGGTCTCGATGTGGATCGTCGGCCTGACTCTGGAAGGGAGTGGGCGGATGGGACGTGCGATGGTGTTTGTCTTTATGAAGTTGGGTAGGGGACGAGTTGGAATGGAGGCAATGACGGGGGGAGGGACTGCGTTGGAGGTGATAAGTTCTGGGGGCAGTGCCGGCTTGCGACTACCAGTGGTAAGACGTCCCTTTCTGGGCTTGTAGCATTCGAGCGGTGGGGTGTGATCGCGTGGCTGGCGGATGATTCCACGCTTTATGATGTGTGTGGTATCTACAACCCTAGCTGCTGCTCGCTGCCTGTCTGTGGATGATGCGCCTAGTGACGCAAGTGTGAGGAGCCTTCCACGCTCCTTGTTGGTTTCCTGACGCTTGTAGTGGGCGTCGAGGTCGATCCTGGGGGTGGCCTTGCACTTTGAGGCTTTGGGCAGCTCAGAGTCTTGCTGAGGCTCACGCCGGGTAGAGATCGGATTGGAATGTGTGTCAAAAAAGCCGCGCGCTACGGCTGAAACTGCTTGTGCTGAAAATACGCGGCCGCTTGTGTTAGACACTAAGCAGGGGCGCAGAAAATGTCAGATTGTTTCTAATGTCACAGTAACACCGGACAAGAGATCAAAAAGACTAAAAAGAGACAGTCACGTGGAA